GACAGAAATTTCACTAATGGTACATAGAGGGCCATAGGCAAAAAAAAAAAATATGTCCTACATTACTTATCACTAGGGAAATGCAAATCAAAATATAGTGAAATTCATGTCAGATCAATTAGAAAGGCTGTTCTCAAAAAGTCAAGAAAGAATCAAAATTGACAGCATGTGGAAGAAAAGGAAAACATTTGTTCCTTATTGGTTGAAATGCAAATTAGTGCATCCACTGTGAAAACAGTATAGAGATTCCTTAAAATTAAAAATAGAACTTCCATATGATCCATTAGTCCTACTTTTGGATATTTCTCCAAAGAGTATGAAAATACTAATACAAAAGAACAAGTATACTCCTATGTTCATTGTAGCATATTCACAATGACCAAGATATGAAAACAGACAATTGCCCAGTGACAGAGAAATGGATAAAAATTGGAATATATACCCAAAGAAATAACACTCAGCCATAAAAAAAATTGTGTGACATTTGTGACAGTGTGGATGGACCTTGAGAATATTATGCTAAGTGAAATAAGTTAAAAGGAAAAGACAAATACTGTATGACTTCACTCATTTGTGGAATATGAAAAAAAAAACACAAATCTTTAGATTCTAACAACAGAATGGTGGCTGCCCACATAGGGGAAGGCATGGGAGGGAATGGATAAAAGGGGCAGATGGTGCATGGTAAATGGACATTTGGTGGCAGATGTGGAGAGAAAATGTGATCTTAGAACCTTTAGCATTGCAAACAAATGTTACCCCAATTAAAAATAAGAACTAGTGAAATCTTAGAATTGTAATTACTGAAACCAAAGGGTATTCACATTTTGATATATGTAATATACATTTTATATATGTTGCTATATTGTCTCCTGGAAAGTTGTACAACAGTAATACATGTGATATTTTTATCGTAACCTCATAATACTGTTAATTAATATTTAAAAATTTTAATTTCGTGGGAAATATTTTTGGACTCATTTAATATGTAACTTATAAAAATAGTTTGTTATTTTAATTTATATTTATTTGCCAATGAAGTTGAATATATTTTCATGGTCATTAATTGTTTTTCTAATCTCCTAACTTTGAACTCTGCCTATTTCTTTTGTGAAGTTTTCTTAATTACCCTAAAAAAGAAAAAAAACTAATTTTTTATGTCATACAGAACTAGTTTTTATATAGCACATTTTGATCAGTAATGATTTTTTTTTCTCACTTGAAATTAGTCTTCTACACTATTTCTGTTGGTAGTTTATTTGTGTTTATCATTTTTCCTTTGACAGTTTTGTTTTGAAACATCTGACATATTTTACTTGTCTTAGTATTATAATGTTTTATATAACTTTGAATTTCTAAAATTCTAAAACATATATACTCTGCATATTTGGCTACTTCTAGAGTTACTTGATTATCATAGTACTCTTAATTAGTACATTTGTTGTAGGTTTTATGGATGAAGAGCAAAAGAAAATAAAAAGAGCTCAAATATTTGTACTTTCTAGAACATGTGGACTAAATTATATGTTACAATCAAACCAGAATTTTCCATGAGTTATTAAATTGATACCACAATCTGGAGGACTTTCTATAATGTTGAGGGTATCATATTAATTTCAGTTCCTATATCTTTCTGTTTTGTTATTATTTTTTTTACTTCTTTAAATTTAAGCATTTTTTTTATTTTCTGACTTTTTTTTCACATTATTCTTCATTTTGTGCATTTTTCAGTTGTAATCCCCATGGATTTCCTACCACCAATTCACCCATGTGCCATCACCATAGTCCAGTGCACTTTTCCCACCCCAGTTCTGATCACATTCACCCCCATAAAATGTCTCTGGCTTATAGTTGTTCATTGTTTTCATTTTTACTCTATTACATTTGTTTCTCTTTTTTCCCCTTATCTTTCTTTTTTTTTAATTCCATGAGTTGCTCATTCAGATAGCCTAATATTATTATTAATTTTCCCTATATTTCTTTTCTTAAAGACACTATGATTTTAAAAATGTAAAATATATGTATGGCTATGGTACTCAGTTTTTAAAAATTGTTGAATTAGTGAATTAATACTGTCATTTCAAAGGCACTTATCATCTTCCAATAAATGGTATTTTTAAATCAGCCTTTTAAAACTTTATTATAAGTTATATATAATATTACAGTTTGATTTCTGAGCCTATTAAGAAATCAAAAATGACTCCATAGAAAAGATAATTGTTTTGTTGTTCACTGAGTTATACTGCATATTGCAATTATAAATATTGCCTTGTTAAATTTTTCCTCATATAAATAAATACATGCTTGAAGTTTCAGACTGTCAAATGATAAGAACTTGCATTAATATTTTCATTCACAGAATAGAGTATATCCTATTTGATATTGACAATTTAAAAAGAAAACTTTGACTATTGTATATTACTATCTGATAACCTATAATCAGCTTTTTTGGTTGCCTTACAAGTAGCAACTAACTTATGAATTGATACTTGTAGGGATGTTTTTAATAATACATCTTGGATCATTTAAAAACAAAGTTATATACCTTTAACTTCATTAGGACTATATATGCATATATAGCAAAAATTAGAATAAATGTAGCAAAGGAAATATTCATCTTCTACATAGTTATTAATAGTTAGCAAATTACTTTAATCAGAATAGTTCAGCCACTAAAGTAACTGAAATAAATAGAAAACTTAAGTGTGGAACAAGCACTAACATGAAAGAAAATGGAAGAGTAAATGTTATATTCAGTCTCATTACCAAATAAATTCAGTCATTTAAAGCAATGGTCAGTAATCTTTTTAGAATGAGGATCAATTTCAGCATTATAAAGGTTATAAATTTGCACTTATTTTCTTTTTCTTTTTGCTTTTGGAAATTACATATTTTGGGGGTTAGAAAATGCTGTATAGTCAGTATGATTAAGCAACTTTTTATTCTATTTCTTACCTGGGAGATTCTTTTGGCTAGAATTTCGTAACAAAGGATTTTATTTTAATTGCTAATAAAAAGTTTTTTTTTTTTTTCAAACAGACATGGATTCTTTGGGCCACTTAAAAATAATGTGAACTTTGTTACTCAGTTTTTGGGGTTTGGTGGCAACTGCACTAAAGATTTTAATTTTATATGGAAAATATGCACCTCAGTCACAACTACGTGTTTACCACTCCATTTTTTTTCTTATTTTTTGAGGCTGTTATTGAGAACTCACCACCAACCAAGAAAAGAAACTAACTAATTTCCCTACATCTATATATATAATCTATAGCCAAAGGAGTAGATCAATATGAGGCTGTGGGGAACAGTGATGTGATCTATCTAGACATTTTCTATGGTGCCTCTCTTTTCCCATCCCACATGGCAGGGTATTGCAGTTTTACTAACAATTCTATAATCTGGAATCTAGTGTCATTTGACCAGAATACTTTCTGGTTGCTTTTAACTTACTAGAGTGATATACCAAACTGTGATTAAAGCAATTTTAATGTCTACAAATAAATGAAGCTATTTTAATTTTTAAACTTTTTGCAAGATGTTTCATAGTCAAAATCAAAATATGTATAATGAGAGCATAAATGCTAACATTGATAGCTTTACAACAAGCCTCTTAGCTATAAATTGAGTCTTACACAATAGATTCAGTAATCATTTCCTACTTTATATAACCAATTGTTTAATCATGTCATAAATCTTGACATGATATACTTTTGAAGTAAAATTTGTTTGAGATTTTCTTGGAAATTGCTATCACTGTGGTAATCTAATTGCATTAGTAACTACAAATAAGATACATAATTTGCTTTTCAAGGTGGAGATAACAATAAATGTGTTTTAAACATTAGTAATTAGTATTCTTAATATTTGCAGTGAAAAATATTTTGTTCTGATTTTCATTTTAGTACTGAGACTCTTTTGTTTTGTTTGTTATACTTGCAGCAAGAGTATTATGCCTAATATGGCTGTGAACTAGGATGTCAAATGTGCTTGCAAATGTAGTATTTTTGAAAAAAAAATATTACATATGAAGTTGGGAGAATTGAGAATATATGATAAAAATATAGATGTAGCTAGTAGCACAACTGTGTATATTTCCTTGCTTTCATTTGACATAAAGTGTTGCTAATTCTATGTTTGGTTTCAGAAATGACCTAAGTATTTAGAACCATGTTGGACCACGTTCTATAAAATATTTCAATGTTTGCTTATGAGAGAAGAAAGTATCACTTTTTGGAAATGTGATTTTGAAAATTTGGCTTTGTAGTTTTCCTGTATAATTACACTAAGAATTTCCAAACAAAATAGAAAGAATTTATAGTGCTTTTCCAGATGTGATTGTTGGAAGCTCTAGGAAATAGAACAGTATTTTGCATACAGTAGACATTTCGTCACTGTTGGTTGACTGAACATTTTTTAACTTGATATCTAGTGCTATTCTCAAAATTAAAAAAAAAACCTAAAACATACATCTTAGCTCAATCAAGACCAAAGAAAGAACTGCTCTTCAACATGCACTTTTGTATAACTTTCAGAAAAATTAACAGTTAAAAAAAAAAGGTATTTTTAAAGTTAAAAACTTTCGTAGTTTACTGAGTAGTGAGTAGTTTTCTTAACCAGTCTTACAACTTCTGATATGGAAGACTACCAAATTCATTCAAGCATTTTGCTTATTTTATATTATGTCTTTATCATTTCAATATATTTGGAAAAGAATGATGGAAATGAAAATAAACAGAAAGCAAATGCTTCTCATTTATTTCTGATTTAAAGACACCTTAGCTTCTCCAATGGAATATACTACAAAGGATCAGCTTGATTTATATGCTAAGTATAGCTCAAAATCATCTTGAGTTCATTTTACTTAATAAGTAAAAGTTGTGTTTATTGTGTCAAGATTATTGGTAGCCATCTTACTTGGACTGTTCAGTTTGCAGTTGTAAACTTGATGGCAGGTTTCTTAAATATCTGTGTATTGTTGTTGTTTATTTTTTTTAAAGAGATATCCCAAAGTTGCAGATGGCTGGCTCATCTCCAAATACCTCTTCAAGGTACTCTATGCTGGTGATGTCTCCCGCCACTGAGCTTCACGGGAGCATGGAATTGACTTACTGGGGAGGGCTGTATCAGTTAAGTGATCTTTTTTAGTACATTGCATGGGTTTTGCAAAGCTTTCCGTTTTTGTTAATACAGAGGGCACAGACATATTTATGCAAGTTTTAACATTAAAATCTGTTTTAAACCCTCACAACAATCAGTTTGTTCTCCTTCTTCTCCTTGTGACTCCTCCAGATTTTTATTGAACTTTGTGATTTTAATCACTATTTTATTACTCAGGCATAGCTGTATTATTTACATTCTGACAGTGATATAAGAATTATTGGTTTTTTCTTAATTTGTAAGTGATATACAATAACATTTGTATTACATTCAAACTGGGGACTTAGGGAAGTTGTATGAATTTTCAGATCCACTCAGTAAAACTTCTGTTGGTGCTATCAGCAATACGTGCTTTACTGTTCTTAAACCATTAGTGGGAGCAGATGTCTTAATTTCCTTTCTCCCATCTGAAAAGCATTCCTTCATGCACTTTTGTCAAAAATATATTATGGAACTCTTGTATACAAAACAATGCTAGGTTTCTGTACTTATTCCTAGACTTTTATTATATACATTTTTTTTGCTTTGGAATGAAATGCAGTCATTATTTTTAAATATTATAATAAGACAAAAGATAGAAAGTGGAAAACAAATATCATTTCCTCAATTCCAGTTGCATGAGTAATCATTTTAAACAATTTCTTTTATACTTTATTCCTCAGAGCTACATATTTATATATAGGACTGTATGGTCTTCACCCTTTGGTTCTCTAATTCAGTTTACTAATATTTAAGCATTATGTTAAAAAATGCTGGTGGGAGAAAAAAGAACAAAACTTTTGTACTATTCTTGAAAAGATAGTAAAATTACTGGGATAAAGAATCCAGTTTTCAAATTTTTGGTCAACATGATTATCTTAATATTTTTGTTTTTGGGAATTGACCAACATTTATTGTATAGTTACATACTTTAATTATGTGATAAATTCTTTACTAGTGAACAAGACATTGTCAATAACAGGAAAATAATTATATTTGGCAAATTAATAACTGTAATTCATAATTATTAAACAAAGGTATCATATAAATAATATACAGCACTAACAGTATAAATTCAATTGAGTAGCTAATCTAGGATTATATTTCTTTTAATTCAGCTTAAAGTATAAATAAAATTGTTTTTAAATTTTTAAAAACAATCTAAAACATTGTTTTAGATTACTAATGTTAGATTTTATAATATTAGTCAAAGTTACAAAATAAATATGTACCTCAATAGTAGTATTTTTTATTAAAGAAGACTGAATTCTTGCAAAAATGGGACTTTTCTTTAGTTAGCAAGAAGTGGAAAATATTAAATTTTAATAAATAAAGTTGTGCTGCTACAAAGTTTAAAGTTAAAAGTATGTGAATATTAATTTATTGACAACAATAAATCCACAAGTAACCTAATTCCTTTAAGTACCTAAAACTCTAATGTTAGTCACAGAGTGGTTTATTAAAATTTGATGGACTATCTTTTATTGCTTGTCTAGATGAATAGTAATTCCAAAGTAGTAGTAGTCTTTGATAATGTTATCTGAGTGATGTATTATAACACTAGCGGAACTTCAGTTTGTGAGATGTATTTCATTTGCTATTTACATAGCTAGACACAATTACAAAGGGTGGAGAGACGAAGTCACTTAACAGATTCATTTATATTTTATATTATCTAAAGATAATGTGTCATTAGCCACCACTTAGTAGAGAATCACTTTAGAAAATTTAGTTCCTGTTCTTAGAAGGTCTCATTCTGGCCATAAAATAAGATACAAACAAAACACTAACATAGTGCATAATGTGAATAGATGTCTAACTTAATGAATATAGGAGCAATTTAATAATAACATTGATTCCCAAAGATTAAGGTCATTTTTAGGTGCTGAAATTAAGGCAGTTTAGTGGAAGAAATATCACATATATAGTTAGTAGCAGGCAGACTTTTGGACACTTCACTTACTTTCTTTGTGTAAAATGAATTAGAGTTGGCCTGATGACATGGAATTGTATTTTTAAAACACTTTGTCATTGGCAGAAAACAAAAACAAAAACAAAGTAAACTGCTAAGAACACATACAATTAAAAGCATGCCATACAGTCACAGTCATCAAGATCTATAAAAGAGAACTTTGTTAGTTATAGCTTATCTATTTTCTGGAATAAAATTTCTTCAAAATACAGACTGGTCAGTGTGATTTGCTTCTGTGTTTGTTTGTTTGTTTAAGGAAATGGGAATATATTGTGAGTTATTTATTTCAGTAGTTGTTTTTAAAGTCATGATCAACTCCTAAGTTTTTTTTCTCATTTTTCTGTTGGATACTAGTTAAAATTAAAAGCCTGCCTTTTATTAGCAGTTTTTCTTTAAAAGTTATATTCAGATAATATCTCAGATAGCCAATTAAATGCTTTAAAAAAATTGAATCCTTTTCATAGATGTAGAAATTATTTAAATAAAATTTTAATATATACAAACAATTTACTTGAGAATTTGTTTGAAGGTTCTTCTGAGTATCTTGAACTAAGAACTTCACTTTGGAAATGTTGCACGTGTTATAAAAAGGAAGGAGAATCAACCAAGTCATCTTCACATTTAGTCTGTTGATTTATTTAAGATATATTTAATAAGTCATTCTCTCAGTTGTTATGTCAAAAGTCTTGTTTTTATCTTTTGGGTGGAAAGTCTTGTATATAGAGTAACCTATTCATAGTAGGAGTCCTAAGAATATAGTGTCTATTCCTTCTCTGTTTAACCTAAGCCTACATTTTTAGTTTTTGTGTAAATTTGTTTTCTTGCCTCCAGAATGAGATTTCATTGTATTCTTTTGGTTTTTGACAACTCTACTTGAAAACATTTTATAAATCTTTTTCCTCAGTCTGTGAAACTCTTGAGAAGGTTTAAAATTAATTAAGAGAAATTTTGTTACTCTCCCTTGTAAGATCCCTGTCAATGTTTAGTATCCATTTCTTGAAAGAAATCTGATAGTTATAGTTGTAATTTAAAAAATATGGAATGATATATTATTAGAAGTCATAGAAAATTAGCTGAAACTAGAAACAGTTGGGGGAGGCAAATGTGTGGGAAAAGATTGAAGAATGTTTTAAAGATTTTTTTCCGGATTCTAAGTAAGAATGGGAAAAATCTTAAATTTATTTCATTCCCTCTTTGTGGTATAAGAGGAACTTGAGTCCCTTAACTGTTTGTATGATAATAGTAGTAATACTATATTAGTGTAATTGTTAACATATGTATTATATTATTTACTACTTACTACATGCATATTATCTAATCCTCATAGCAGTATTACAGGTAGGGTGTACCATTATTGTTAAGTAATAAAAGAAACTCAGATTTACAGAGTTGAATTATTTGCTCAAGATTATACAGTTAGAAAGCAATCTATTTCAGTTCCATTTAACTCAAAAGCTTATAAAAGTCATTTTAAATTGAAATTTCATTAATTTACAACACTGTAAATGTTGGAGTCCATTTCAGGGGTACATTTTCTCACGTCAGTAACTACATATATGTTAGCACACCCAATACCAAATGTTACCAGCCACCAGTCAGCCCTTCTACCTACTCCTTCCTCTCTCATAATCACCACACCATTTTTTGGTCAAAGTTAAGGGGTTTGTTTTTATTTATATTTTGTTTGTTCACTTGGAAGAGCCCATATTCTTAACCATTAACATTCCTTTGTCCTTCCAAATGGCTAACAAATTGCTGACATGAAAATTGCCTTGTGGACAAACTCTACTGAGATACTCTGCTGGGAACATTTTTAAGTCAAGGAAGGTAAGGGATAAAAGAAAGTGATGGGAAGAGATTGAAAGGAAAAAGGGAGAGTATAACAGCCCTGTTGATTTTTATTTGTAGGTAAGAAGGTTTGACTTTTAAAGAGATGTAAATATACATAGATATTTGAATAAGAATTTGTAGGTGCTTTAATATTCTTATTTATATATACTAAAGGTAAATGTCCATAATTTTTAATATTACTAGCATACGGACATCTTAATGCCAGATATAATTCCAACTGTTATTATAAAGAGGTATACACATTTCATATAAGATTACCTGTTTTATGCTAACTTACCAAAACATTTTTAATAAGTATTTATTGAATGTCTACTGTGATCCAAACACAGTGTCAAGCGCAGGTGGTTGATTTAAAGACAATTAAGAAACTATCTCTGCCTTAGAGATTTTTACCACCTAATATTTGAGACAGTCAAATATACAGAAAAAATTAAGGATAAATAAGCACAGAGTGTTATGTTAGAATTATAAGAATAAATACCTTGGTATTATGTAAGATTTCTATTGGTTGATTAATTTAAGTATATTAGAAATTCCACAAGGATCTTTTTAGAAATACCAGTACCATGGCCGAAAGATTTTGATTGTTTAGTTGACTTGAAGCCCAGGCATGGTATTTACTAAAAAGAGCCCAGTTATTCTGTTAGTTGTGAACTACTCAAATGTCATTTCAGGCAATTCTAAAATGTGTGCTGACAGAAACATCTATTGATGTTATGGGAGAGAAACTATTACTGGAGAAAGGAAGATTTGAGATAATTAGTTCAAAATAAAAGACCATAGATTTAAAAATATAATAGCAACTCTTTCTACATTAAGATTAAAACTTCCTAGGTAAGACTAATCATGATAGACAGCTGAAGAAGATATAAGGAATAGGCAAAACTAAACCAAAACAAACCCTAGACATCTGACTTTGGAATTGAGGATTTTGAGTGGGAAGGTGGAAGGAAGGCAGAGAAGTGGAAAGGGGGCAGATTGATTATGGTAGAGGGTTATTAGAGCTTTTGGTGAAATATGGTTACACAACTGAAGAAGCATGAACCTATTCCCTTAAATCACACACAGTTTTGTAAACCAACATTACCTCAATAAAAAAATAAGTTAAAATTTTTTTTGTAAATACTAAGAACAAAATTGTTCCATGGACCTTGTATTCAGACCCTGCATATTTCTGTTAATGTAATATACTCTGAGAACATTTGTTCATGAACAGACATGTAAAATTGCCAAAGGATTTTTCATGGGGTGGGGACTATAAGAGAATAAATGAATGACAAAATGGAGCTTTGTGAATTTGTATATGAGAGTGGTAGAAGATTATGAATAATCAGCAAATGTAGCATTCTGGTTGACTGGTTGACTATATAGTAGGGTGCACCACATATTGATTCATTTCTTTTAAATATATCTCTAAGAAGGGGGAAGGTTTTCTTTTTCCTTTGTTTTTCTCAGTAGCAAAACTTAAGAATTCAGCTGTTGACATTTAAACTAGTACTTGACCACAGTGGAGTTTTTCTGTGTACTACCTAACAGACTATATTAGAAAAGATGGATATTAAGCTGCAATAATATTTTTAGTCATCTTTTTTATTTAAATATTTTTGTACTTAAGAACACTATTATTGAAGGTATATAGTTAGTTAGATAGCTAATTAAATTTAAAGCAGGACTAGACTTAAGACTTCCTACGCCAAGGTTAGTACCCTATCCACTAGAGCACACTATGTTGTCTTTTAATTTTCAGAATTTTCGTGTTCCTGTTTCGTGTTTGAATTTTCTAGTCTAGTTTTCTTTTATTTTGTATTGCAATTTTTCTCCTGAAGGTCAAGTAACCTGGTTTGGTTATGAAAGTCCTCGTAGCTTCTGGGACTATATCAGAGTGGCTTGCCGAAAAGTTTCACAGAATTGTATCTGCAGTATTGAAAATATGGAAAATGTCAGTTCCTCTAGAGCTAAGGTAAGATATAAATAATAGCATGTAGCATTTTTAATCTAATTGTAAGTAGTTTTGACCCAAATGGAAAATTGTTCATTTTATGCTATAAAGAGTGTTTCTTGTTTTTTTTCTTTGTTGGTATAAAACATTTGACCAAATTTAACATCTTTAAGAGACCTATTTCTTTTTTTAATTGCATATAATTATTTAGAAAATTCTTAAATCTTTACTATTTCCTTATGAATAACAATACAATACAAAGCTAGTCACTTAGAAAGTGTGATAAAATGTTTCCTATTTATAAAGTTTCTACATTTTGTGAAAATCTAAATCTGTTGAAAGAATCCAGGGAGTCCAAAATGTTAAAACTATTTTTATTAAAATAAAGATATTTGCTTTTACACCGTGTTGATATTTGTCCTGCTAAGCAGAAGCAATGGTGAGTAAAATTGATGCTGCCTTAGCAAAAATTAATGCAGTGTCAGTAAACTATACCAGAAGGCTTTCAGTTCTTTACTACCATGTACTCAGTCAAAAAAAAAAAGCCTAATTTTCACTTACATTTTTAATATTCTGAGTGACAAAATAGAACGTATGAATAAAGCAGTATATTGAAATATTGCCTCAAGGAAATACACACATGTAGTTGTTTGAGTTATGAGCTGCAGCATGAAACTTCTTTTATGCAAGACTCTTTTTACTTGAAGAAAAGTCTAACTTTGAATCATATGCAGTGTTATAAATCAACATTACATCAGTAAAAGAATAATAGAATAGAAAAGGGAAAATGCTATCTGTTTTTAGATTAAATATTTGGTAGAAATTTTTGGAATAAAAAATGAACAGAGTAACTTTTGTAATAAAAAAAAAAATGAACAGAGTAAGCCTGTCACTTCAGCTGACACTATTTGTTGTCAATAGTAAAATGAGAGCTGACCAGTAAAAATTAAAAACACAGAAATCTCATATTCACCATCTTATGTTTGATAGCTTGTCAGTAATAAACATATTTCTGATAACATTGATGGCAAAATTAACCAATGCATTTTTTAATGATTAATGAAACATGTCAACATCTGGTAGACCTGTATTAGTTATTTTTCAAATGACTGATGCATGTAATTAAAAAATTATGTATGGTTAACATATCTATTCAAATAGACTGATGAATTTAATGCAAGGCAGTGTGTAAAGTTCATTGATGTGGCGATAGATTCCATGTTGCAATTAACTTTAAAAAAATCATCACTTGGCCCTCCCTGGTGGCACAGCGGGTTAAAGCACAGCACTGAGAATCTAAAGCCGCTTCCTTATGATTTTGATTCCCACCTGCCCTGGAGGTGACCACATGGTGTGGCAGACCTCTCCTGACCCGCCCTCTGCTCCCTTCAGCAGTGTACTTTGTCAATCTGCCTGTTCTGTTCCCCACTCTGTCTCTGGTGAAGTCTCTCATCACCCCTGAGCCTCTAGTCTGTACCTCAGTTCTGTATGCATAAATAAATAAATCTTAAAAAAAAAATTCTTAAAAAAAAATCATCACTTATTGAGTTTTGATGTAAAATATACTATCCAAATGTATGAATTTAAAAAGGCTGTTAAAAGACTCACTTTTCCAATGGTATATTTGTGTGAGACAACATTTTCCTATTCATTTGAAAGATTTGAAGTATGTAAAAAAAGCCACATTCACTATTTTTGTTTAGAAAAAATACTTTCATAAAAATATTCATGTAATGGGTTAGATATTTTTATTTTGAATAACCTAATATTTTTAGTTTCCTGCTTTTATTTATAAAATAGTAAATATTGATAAATATTTATGAAAGCTTTTTGGGGATGCTCTCTCTAATATTTAAGATTGTGAAAAGTCTAAGCTGCTAATAATAAGCTAGTCAGATTTTTTTGTTATTAGATTGCCATAGGAGCTTTCCTTATTATTTTCAACACTTAAGGGAAATAGTTATAGAATAAAATGTAAGTTGAATACAAGTAGATTTGCAAATGGATATGTACAGTTTACGACCAGGACATCATTCATTACTTTACAATTATAGGCCTATAAGTTATATATCTATATAATAAAAATACAGTAATCATATTTCAAAAGTATATTTTCTTAAGATTTTTATTCCTGCACTCATTATTATTTAGGAATTGATTTCTTTTGGAAAAACTGTTTTTGGTAAAACTGAAAAATATATGTCAAAATTTAATAAAATAATTTGTAAAACATCAACTAGATATCTGAGTTTTAAAGGAAGCTATTTACAAAATTTAAATTTAGTGTTAATAAAGTGTAGCTATAGAATCATAAACTTCATAATATGAAAAAGTACAGATAAAATTCATAGCTATTTTTGACTTATTTTGAAAACTGTTGAGAGACAGAACGGTATTCACAAGCGATCACAAATACTAGAATTTTACAGTAATTTCTAATATTAAAAAGAACCTACTTTAATGACCACTTTCTAATATGACTGATAAGATTTTATCTCTTCTTTTAACTACTACTTGAAATTTCCTGTTCCCAGTTCTGATTGTTTTACACTCTGTTCATTTTAAATACTGACTTTACGTGAATTTTTCTAAAACACTGTCTCCTCATATTCCTTTTCTGCACTTCTCACAGGTTGTTCCAGTGCCTAATAGCTAAGTTACTTTAGTTCCTTACTTTTTATCTACATTTTAAACAAGTGTTTATATTGAGTGTAACAGAAATTGTAAATACTGAGAATACAGTGATATGGTGAAAAAGATGACCAAGGGGCAAATGTCATGTACATTACTTTTTTACTAATACGTTGAACAAATAAATGGAATATAATCTCAGAAAATGACACTGAGAGGTTAGAAAAACATAGAAGTTGTAGAAAAAGGAACATGTTTTTACATTGGGTAGTTAGGGATCCTTCTATGAAGACACATTTGAACCAGGATGTGACTAATGGGAACTGTGCTGTGTAAATCTTGACCAAGGCATAGAACAAAGCACATGGTCATGATTAAGTTTGTATCTCATTCTCAGTGCAATGGGAAGCTACTCAGGCTTTTTATTTATTTATTTATTTTAAGCATTAGATCACCGTGATCTGATTTACACTTTTGAAAGATCACCTGGATACAGAATGGAGGATGCATAGAAGGGAGGGATGACAACAGTCAGTAATAACAGAGTACCTTGTATCAATGAGCTCTTCTGCCAAGAACAATTATAAAGTTATCTAAAATCTACAAAAAAAAATATATATCTATATCTATATCTATATCTATATAGATATAGATATAGATATAGATATATATAGATATATATAGGGCTTAAGAGAACAGCATGAGAATTTTAATGACCACCATCATGGAAAAAAGGGTGGTACATAAGTGTACCCCACACTCATCTTAGCTTTTAGTCTAAGAACAATTGTCTGTTTATATTATGGTTGTAGAAGCTAAGCAGAAAGTACTGTGGGTGGTAGGAGTTGAATGTTTCTGTTCTAAAGGAAGAAATTGGAAATGGCAGTACTAGCAAAATCAAGGCTTAATGAAGAGGAGAGAATTGCAGACAAATGTGCCTGAAGTTATGCATGCAGTTTTTCTGTGTGCCAATTCATAGTCATCTGAACAAGTCTCACAAACCAAATTGAAAGCAGCAAATTAGAAGCCAAACAAACCGATGAAAAAAATTGTTTTGTCTTGTGCTAGAGGTTAGAGAATTGCAAGGGGCTTTTACAAGCTTTTATTGTGTGACCTCAGAAAGGCTACATTTTGGAAGTAAGAGAAATTCTGATGAGGGCCAGCCCATAAAAGACCTAAAAATGGTATACCTAAATGGTGCTGGGCAATTTTCAAGTCCATCATCTGCCTACCAATGAAATACAAATCTATTCTAGAGACAGGTAGTTAGAGTAGACAGTAAGAAGGTACTAGAGTTGCTAGAGATTTTCACATATTCAATCAAAAATAATTAGACATACTAAAAACCAAGGTCAAATAACTGCAACTAAGAAAAATAATAGTTTATTGAAATAAACCAATGGGAGATGCATAAAATTAACTTCTTGGTAATTATATCAAGTGCAAGAAAATTAAAATCAACTTTAATAATATAAAGAATTGGAGTAAATAAGATAATCTAGAGGTGGAGGTAATACTTGGTGTACTAACTCTGCTGATAAAACTCTTCTTCAAGTATAACTAAGAAAACAAGCATCATCCTTACTTGTATTCCACCAGTTTATCAACAGCTTCACTGAATTGACCCATGCATCCTTCTCCCAGAGATGAGTACTTCGTTACTTGTTAAGGTTTGGACCTTGGACACAGCATTGGGTCATTCCTGGTAGAGGGTCACATTTGAGGAAGGCATTCTCTCCAGTGTGTCCAGATTGGCACGAGGGACCTCTGCAGTGAGTGTGGAATAAGATTGCTTGCTCACGAGCCCTGCATCAGATGGATTAGCCCCACAGCATTGCTTCGGTTACAGCGTGAATAACCTTAGGGCACCATCCACCCAATCATTTAATAAGTTTAATAGTAATTTTTTATGAGGCTGGGGAAGAATCCACTACAAATCTTTGGAGTCCTGAAGCCATGTGACAGGGATCTGTGAAACAGACAGGTCTGGTCACCAAGGGAGAGAAGTAGTAGAACATACTTCTCAGCACCAATCCCAGCCATACTTCTTATCATAGAGGTACCAGACATCATAATCAATCAGTTCATAATCAGTGACAGGGGCCTTCTTGCCCTTCTACCCTTTGTGAGGGCAACCAGCAGCTTGCAGAAATTACCATAAGTATCAGAATCAATGTCTTTAGAAGACAGAGATAGGCAGGTAGATACCTAAAGGTAAACTCAACAATGGAAAAAAAAAGTACAATGAAAAGGTTAAGACATTATTAAAAGAAATTGAAGATAACAAAAAAGACTGTAAACACTCCAGTCATCTACATCTGACTCCTCAGATGTCACTGCCCACCACCTTGAAAAACAGGGAGAATCCAAAAACTAAAGCCACAGTACCACCTTCTGGTGGAAAAGTAACACCCATGCAAAAGAGAGAGAATACAGGAAACTAAACATTGAAAAAAATATGTAAGTTAAGCTTTATGATTCAAAATTAAAGGAGCTGCACATTTATCAGTCATGAAGAAGCTTACTAAAGGTGAAGAATTCAAGCTTAACACAGAAAGGCAGATTTAGAAAAGGCAGAAGATTTAGGACTTCAGAAAAGATAGTAGTATCACAAACCTGCAGCTAATATATTCAGTGATAACTGAAAGCTTTCCTCCACGTTAGATTCAAGGTTGTCCACCTTCACCACCACTACTATACAACATAATGTTAGAGCTCCTAATTGGAGTAATTGGGCAAGAAAAGAACAACAAAAAAAAAGGAATCCAGATTGAGAAAGAAGTAAAACTATCACTATTTGCTGATGACATGATAATGTACATAGAAACCTACCAGTCTCCATTAAAACTATTAGAAATAATAAATTGGTATATGAAGTTGCAGGCTATAAAATCAGCATATGAAAATCAGTTGCATTCCTATATGAAGAAAACAAATAAAATTAAGAATCTCATTCACAACAACAACAAAAACACTTAGAAGTAAACTTTTTTTTTTTAAGTAAAAATTACAACAGAGGGGCCCTCCCTGATGATGCAGTGGATTAAAGCACAGACTAAGAAGCCACTTCAGCATGAGTTCGATCCCCACCCTGGAGGTGACCCACATGGCGCAGCAGACCTCTCCTGACCCGCCCACCTCTCCCCTTAGCTGTGTACTTCGTTGATCTGCCTGTTCTGCTCCCCACTCTGTCTCTGGTGAATTCTCTCACTGCCCCTGCACCTCTGGTCTATACCTCAGTTCTGTATGCATAAATAAATCTTTTTTAAAAAATGACAACAGAATACATGGAGGCAAAGTGTTTTACATCACAGATTTTCTTCTAATGTCTGGAATGTTGATTTATTTGTCTAAAAGGAAAGACTACATAGGAAGGCAGGCAGTGCTTAGGCAACTGAAGTAATTAATGATGGGGGAAATGCTAAGGCGATCTTCACAGAAGGGGGCACAAGCAGCTGTTAGTTGTAAGCTGACTTCTAGTCAGTGGAAGCCTAGAGTTGTGCTCCTGGAATCTCTAGCCACTGCAGGATTCAGTCATCCCCACCACAAATGTACAGTAGGACTTTCTGGTAGCCCTTAGTATCTTGCTCTCTGTAGGAGTGGAGGAATTGCTGTGATTTTTATTGAATTCAGACCTGATTTTCAACATCCCACTTTGCTGTGAGAACAGTGATTCGAATCAGGACTTTATCATGTGGTACCTTGCCTTAAAGGCAAAAAAAATGGGCTTGTTCTTTATATAATGGACCTCCTTCCTGATGGACCCATTCATGTTGCTTTAGTTCTTGTACATTTCAAATACTTTCTGGAAGTGACCCATACTCTTGAGAATGATGCTGATCCACTTGGGGACATTGTTTACTTCTTTTGTCACATCTACTCTGAATCATAGAGATCCCAGACATCTTGATCAATCAGTTCATTACCAGTGACAGAGGCCTTCTTTACCCCTCTACTCTTTGTGAGGGCAACCAGCAGCTTGTGAAAATTACCATAAGTGTCAGAAACAATGTCTTTAGAAGACAGAGATAGGCAGGTGGATACCTAAAAGTAAGCTCAACAATGGAAGAAAAAGAACAGTACAATGAAAAGGTTAAGACATTATTAAAAGAAATAAAAGATAACAAAAAATGATTCAAAAGCTACAGAACTAAATATTACTGAAATACACACAGAAGCACAAAAAAACCCCAAATAGCCAAAACTATGCTGACAAAAACAGAGAGGAAGAGAGGCAGTATCATACTGCCTCTCAGACTTCACTACAAAGCTGTAGTTATAAAGCACTATGGTACTGAAATAAGAGTGCACATAAAAATAAATAGAATAGAATTGAGAACCCAGAAATAAACTCACAATTTTATTGGTCATTAATTTATGAAAGAACCCAAGAGTACAAATTATAGAAAGGAAAATCTTTTTAAGAAATGATGTTGGGGAAACTGGGCAACCACATGAAAAAGAATGAAATTAGACCACTATCTCACACCATACACAAATGTTTACTAAAAATAGAATAAGACTTGGATGTAAGAACTGGAACCATAAAAAGCATTAGCAAAACAGTACATAATATAGGCCTTAGTGAAGTTTTTGTGGGTTCATCTCCAAAAACAGGGGAAACAAGAAAAATTCAACAAATGGGAAGAAACTGTCCTGAAAACAAAGCCACCATCTGAATGGGAGAAAATATTTGCATTGCACATCATACATCTGGCAAGAGGCACATATTCAAGATCTATAAGGAACTCATATAACTCAACAAATGGAAAACACAGTCAAAATGAGCAGAAGACATAGACAATTCTCCATAGTGTCAGCAATCACAGGAAAAATATTTATCGTCATTTATTATCAAGGAAATGCAAGTCAGAACCATGATGAGATACTACCTTAAATTTGTGACAATGACTTATTTTAAGAAAGCCAGAAATAACAAATGATAGTGACAGTGTAGGGGAAAGGGACTTTCATACTCTGTTGGTAGAAATGTTGATTGGTCCAGAGCCCCTGGAAAACAATAAGGAGATTTCTTATAATGATAAAAATGGAAAACATAGATTTACAATACAACTCAGCAGCTCCACTACTAGGCATCTGAAGGATACAAAAACACTTGTCCAAGGACTCCTGTGAACCCCTATTTTCATTGTGCCACTATTTACAATAGCCAAACTATGGAAACTCAAGTGCCCACCAAAAATAAATGGATTAAGATGTGGTACATATACACAATAGACTATTGTTTACCTGCTTAAAAAAAAAGATGAACTCTTGTCATTTGTGACAGTGTGGATAGAAGTGGAGGGTATTATTCTAAGCAAAATAAGTCAGAAGGTGAAAAACAATTACTGATGATTTCTCTCATGAGAAATAAAAACAAAGCAAAAGAACAGACAAAACTGAACCAAAACAAACAACAACCCTTGAAATCTGACTGGAAAGTTGAGCTTACCAGGTGGGATGGGGTGAGAAGTAAAGAGAGGAACAAACCTAGTGGACTGGTGGACAATTATGACTGCTTTGGTAGTATGGTAGTGTGAAAAGATGTGAAACTGCACATCTGAAATACATACAGAATTGAAAGCCATTTTATTTACTTCAATAGAAAGTGACACAAAAAATAAAATTAGTCAATCAGGTTCACATCAGACTTCTTAGCAGAAGTCCTGTAGACTAGATGTGGAATGATATATTTACAGTACTACTGCTTGTAGCCTTTCATTATATTCTTATTTTATTCTAAACAAAGAATCCAGAAGAAATGCTTTGGCTTATTTTTTTTTTTTAAATTAACTGACTCATCCCAACTATTGAATGATGTCATCTTTTTTCGAAAGTAAAACTTGATTATTCATATTTAATATTGTCTGTGATTTTGTGTTAGAATATTCATTTGGTAGCATTTTGTTTATTTTCTGATTTAAATGTACAGTGGTAATTTTTAGTGTTCTCTGGGCTTAACTCTTAATTTGTATGCATGACAAGTAATGAAATTTTGCCTTCATTATTAATTGCATAAACTTTCATCTGGAACAATAAGTAGGAAACTCTTTTACACAGGGATGTAAGTATATTTTTATTAACAAGAATGAAATCTGCTCCTCATGTTTTATAAGGAAACATGGTTTTAATTAGCATGTTGATGATGGGTGTTGAGGTAGAGAGTTACAATTTAAATTATATGATTCAAAAGACTTCTCTAACAAGTAATTAATAGTAATAGTTCTGTCCCTTTAGATAATAGAAAGTTAATCTGACATTCTTTGCCCTATACCTTCAGAGAAACAAAATGTGTAATATCTTTTTACCTATTTTTATCTACTTACATATTTTCATATTGTTTATTGACTATTTTGAGCAAGTTGTTCTTTACATATTGAAATGCTTATGAGTTTTGATGCCACCGTGGGCAAAGTACTTTTTTACAATTTTTCTCATATCTGATTCTTTCATCTTCCTTTTAGGGTAGAGCCTGGATCAGAGTAGCACTCATGGAAAAACATTTATCTGAATACATCTCTACAGCTTTGAGAGACTTCAAAACAACCAGGTTTAAAAGTCCTTTATTTTTCAAATATATATGTGAAAGAGTTCTCTAAAATTCAAAATACGAATAGAATGAAGCATCATTTCATTTCCAAAATCCTCAACAATTTTATTTGTTTCTTTTTTTGGTACTGCTTAGATAAACCAACTTTTTTCAGGAAAATATAATTTACCAACTAAACATATATTTATCTTGGTTCATATTTTCAGGCTTGAGATTATATCTGGCATCTCATTATTTCTGAATTATTTCTAATTCCTTCTCTTTCAACATTTAAGTTTCATTTTCTCCACAGACTTTGTTTGGAGAAAAACCTAACTATGAAATATCTATGGTATTCCTTTTCTCCCCACATTACATTTTTTTCTTTCTTTCTTGGCTTACAAAACTATAAAAATATCATTGATTTAATTTACATGTATATATAATTATATATATATATATATATACACACACACACACATAAACACACACATATATATATACAGACACTCATATAGTTATATATAGATTAATGATTGCTCTATTTTCTTTTTAGGTCAGTCTTTACCAATGTTGTTTTTCCTTACACTGGCCCATATGAAAAATAGGACTTCATTAATTTTTATGATAAAAATATTCATATTAGGATAACCGCCATGCTTATATTATATTAAAACTGATCAGTTTTTGTAGCTTTTGTTAAAACATGTTTCTCTCATATTAAAAGCATTTTTAAATTTAAGTATTCATTAACATCAGTGCTTTAGACATGTATTGTTCAACACAATAGCTATATACCGCTATGTAAATTAACATTAATAATGATTAAAATACTAATTCAGTTTTCAGTCACTGTGTCACATTTAGGTGGCAATTAGCTGTGTGTGACTAATGACTACCAAGTTGTACAGCATAGATACAGAACATGTCTTCAATAGAAAAAGTTCTATAATGGCTCTTATAGTATTACTTCCCACAATTCTGAATTGGTCTACTTATTGTTACCTCAGCTATATTTCTGAAGGAGAGGAAAGAGTTTTGATGGGTAAAATTGAGATTATGTATAAAGATATCCTACCTTGAATATTTATTTCCAAGTGCTGACAGTAGTTGACATTTTGTATTTTGAGGAAATTTGGGAATTTTTTTAATTAAGTAGCTGATACAAATTACATTTCTACTTAGGTGCCTCTGTTTTTAGATAATAAAATAGTGAATTTTCATTTGATAAGTACAAAATAATGATGTTTTTAAATTCATCCAGGATAAGAGAGTTATTAACTAAAAGAAGGATTTATGTCTGTGTGACTTATATTTGTTGAATTATTTTAAAGTAACATGGCACTATAATATAGTTCTGGGATATTTCCATAGATGGTCAATGAGATGATAACAGGCTTTTAGACATCAGTTTCAGTTTGCAATGAACTTTATGAAATGAAACATGGTTCTTTCATTTATTATCACTGATAAATTAAATTTTAATTGTGAAAGATATGTATTGAGGCTACTTAGACTATGAAAATAAAAATAGTATCAGAATCTCATAGCTTAAACCAGAAATCCAAAATAATCAAAACCAGTTACACAGAAGTCATCTCCTATACAATAACAAGATTGTATTGTGATAGTCTTTTCTAAATAGAAACTAACACATTAATCATCTTTAAATTGCTAGTCATCTTTTTTTAGTTTAGACGATTGGGTGGGGTAGAAATAATTCTTGAATGCATTATTTTTAGAACTTGTAGTTTAAATATTTAAAAGGTAATGCTTTTTCCCTTGTTCATAGGTGTTAGATATAAAAAGGATATGATCCAGTTTTTTTTTTTTTTTGATGAAAAGGAAATGATCCGGTTTTAAAAATGACCAAGAAGTGAAAATACTCTTGTAATAATATATAAACTAATTTTATCCAAGCAGAAACATAGCTTAGCATATAATGTGTTTACACTAACAAATATGTAGTTTTTTTATATTTACTTGTGAATATAGTAGTTCTGTACTTTCCAAGACAGAAGTAGTTATTTCAAAATTCTTACCATAGAGGTTAATTTAAAATACATTGTGGAAAGACTAAGTATCTGGGTTTTTTTGTTGTTGTTTTGTTTTGTTTTTTTAAGATTTATTTATTCGTACAGAACTGGGGTACAGGCCAGAGATGCGGAGGATGAGAGGATTCACCAGATACAGAGTGGGGTGCAGAACAGGCAGATCGACGAAGTACGCTGCTGAGGGGAGCAGCGGGCGGGTCAGGAGAGGTCTGCCGCGCCATGTGGATCTCTTCCAGGGCAGGCAGGGATCGAACTCATGCGGAAGTGGCTTAAGCTTCTTTGTGCTGTGCTTTAACCCGCTGCGCCAGCAGGAGGGCCCAAGTATCTGTTTTAATATGATGTATACTTTCCCCAAAATCAAATCTAGAAACTTTTAAGTTACAAGTTATACGTAGATTTGATGGCAGCCTTTTAGCCAAAGCATATATATTTGGAAAATAAGGTTTCTTAAATATTAGCAGACTGTTGGAAAGAATAGTTATACTTTATCTTATGGCTGGATGCTCCCTGAGATAAATGATTGTAGAACATTGAAAAATTATCTTTAACCCTTTGGAAAGAATCTGAAATCAGGTGATTTCTTCTTGTTCTACCCTTTACAGATAAAAAGACTTCCTCTTTACATGGTAATACAGTATTAACCCCAATACAGAAGGAGAAGTTATGAGAACTAAGATGGGGAAGTTTGAAAGCATTTTTCAGTGAAAACCCAAGGATAAATTTGGGTGGAAAATGTGTGGGGGACAGAAATACAATAAAGTACATGATGATTGGTGCCAAAATTTATGAAAAAAAATTCATAATGTCTTGGTAAACAATGAAAAAAAAATAACTAGAGTTGAGAAGTTTGGTAAATACAAAATTGTAATCCAAGTTTAAAAGAAAAAAGTGGGGAATTGTTTGTGTAGGTTACTGAGAAGATCTAAAAACAGAAGTAAGGAAGAATCTGAATTAATTTGCTTAAAGTTTTAATTTCCCCCAACCACAGAGTAAAAAATTAATTATAAAAATGTAAGCAAAAGATTTCAAAGCAACATTCAAAGCAAAATTAAAGATATTCTGAGTTTAAGAATTTAAAATAAAAAAATAGAAAAACAAAGTTAGAGATAGTATTTACAATGACAAATGTTGTGTTAAAAAAAGTTAATTTTCTGGATATTAACATAGGAGTAGGAGAAGGATTATAATATAAAGTTAAATTTCAAAACTTACCAAACTGTCACAGCTTAAAAGAGAGTTGAGGGGCCCTCCCAGGTGGCGCAGTGGGTTAGGACGCAACACTGCAAGCTAGCTGCAGCCCCATCAGTGTCAGCTGGATCCCTGCCCAGGGAGGTGACCCACATGGTGCAGGAGACCTCTCCTGTCTTGCCTGCTGAGGGGAGTGTACCTTGTCGATCTGCCTGTTCAGTGTACATCAGCAGTGTACCTTGTCGATCTGCCTGTTCTGCTCTGCACACTGTCTCTGTTGAATCCTCACACTGCCCCTGCACCTCTGGCCTGGACCCTAAGTTCTGTATGCATAAATAAATAAATCTTAAAAAAAAAAAAAAGAATGAGTTGGAATGAGTTGACAAAAACTTTTTTTTTATTATAGAGAAACATATAAACATTATTAAAAGGTGCTTACAGACTGTTGCCTCACAGCACACTGCATACAGGACAGGGGTATAGGGGAGAGGAGCATGAGCAGTGAGAGGATTCACCAGAGACAGTGAAGAACAGGCAAATCAACAAAGTGCACTACTGAAGGGAGCAGCTGGCAAGAGGGAGAGATCTGTTGCACCATGTGGATCACCTCCGGGGAGGCTATCGAACTTCACTGAAGGAGCTGTGGTTAGCTTGCAGTGCTGTGTCCTAAGCCGTTGTGCCACCAGGGAGGGCCTGCATAATAAAAATTAACTCAAAATTGGACAGATTTAAATGAAAAACTCTTAGAATATAGCTTAGATAATAAGTCATCATGATCACACTGTAGTCTGTAGTTTCCTAGATATGATACTACATACATAAACAACAAAAGAAAATAAATTGGATAGTCAAAATTTAGAACCACTGAATCAGAGGGGAAAAATTGCTAAGCTTGCATTTGATAAGGTATTTTAACTATTGTATATACCCTATTGAAGATATAGTGGAAATATAGTTGTATATTATATGTAGGATCTCTTACAACTCAGTAATTATAAAAAATTAATGATCAGTAAATCTGATTAGACATTTTTCTAAAGAAGATATGCAGATGACCAGCAAACACATAAAAAATATTCAACAGTGACAGGAATCAGAGAAATTCAAATCAAAATCACAATGAGATACCACTGCACACCCACAATGATGACTAGTCAGCCGAACATGTAATAACAAGTTGACAAAGATCTGTTAAAAATTGGAACCCTTATACATTGATGATATGAAAGTAAAATAATGCAACAAGTTTGAAAATCAGTCTTTCAGTTCCTCGAAAGGTTAAACAGAATTACCAAATGGCCTGAGACATGACTTTTAGTTATAGAGATACAGATACAAAGATACAGATGTTATCTCCAAGAAAATTGAAAGCATATTCATAAAATACATGTTCTCAAATACTAATAATAACATTATTCATGGCAAACATAAATGGAAACAACCTAGTTGTCTATCAGGTGATGAGTGAGTAAGCAAAATTTGTATTTCAAACAGTGGAATGTTACTCAGCTGAATGAAAGGATTAAAGTTCTTTTGTTCCTCCTAGTGCTTGTTGATATGATTGTATGCCGTTTCATAAAATTACAGTTGAGGAAATTGTAGAACTTACCAGTGTCAATGAAAAGTTGAAGGAAGGAGTTAAGAACCACGACCAACAATCTTTGAAGATAATTGGGTTGGATGGTACTGTAGTGAGGCATATATCATTTAGTAAACTGTTGAAAATCTATTGTGAATGACAGTGTTTGGCATGAAAGAGATCAGATTCCAATTTAAGGG